CAACTCCCAGAATTCCTGAGCCAGCATGGGGGAACTATGCCCCCCTCATGACTGGTGGACTTCAACTCCCAGAATTGTGGGACTCGGTTGTGGTGGCAGGACTACATTCTGGCAAGATTCTGTATGTAGGTCAGGGGTAGGCAACCTTGGCTCTTTTATGACTCGTGGACTTCAACTCCCAGAATTCCTGAGCCAGCCATGCTGAGGGGAAAGGGAGAGGTTTCCAAGCTGAGCCATGCTGGCTCAGGAATTCTGGGAGTTGAAGTCACGAGTCATGAGGGGGCCATAGTTTCCCCATGCTGGCTCAGGAATTCTGGGAGTTGAAGTCCACGAGTCATAAAAGAGCCAAGGTTGCCTACCCCTGTGTGTAGGTGAACAGCAATAAACTACTCAGACGTAACTCTTAAGTGTCATTCTTGGTTCTTTGCTCCCGACAGTAGGTGCTGTTCAAGAAATTTGAACTCAGGACAGGCCTAGCTAGATGTGCAGGTGGTCCTCCATTTAAAACCGTTCCTTTAGTGACCGTTCAAAGTTACAACGGCACTGAAAAAAAGTGATTTAGGACTGTTTTTCATTCTGACAACCGTTGTGTTCCCAGGGTCACAGGATCAAAATTCGGACACTCGGCAACTGGTTCATACTTATGTCGGTCACAGCATCCCGGGGCCACCTGACCCCCTTTTATACAGGTAGTCCTCAACTTAACGATTTGTTTAGTGACCATTCAAAGTGACAACAGCAACTTACGACCGTTTTTCACACTGACAACCTTGGCAGCATCTCCCTGATCACGTGATCAAAATTCGGCCGCTTAGCAAGTGGTTCGTACTTAACGATGGTTGCAGCGTCCTGGGGTCACGCGATCCCCTTTCGCGACCTTCTAACAAGAGGTTAGAAGTGACCAGAAAGGTCGTAAAATGGGGCAAAACTCAGCTAACAAGTGTCTCGCTTAGTGATGGACATTTGGGTCCCGATTTTGGTTGTAACTTGAGGACTGCTCCCCTCTGGGTCGTGGGAACGGGCAACTTACCACCGATTAAGTATGGGTTCTCAATATAACGCTGAGCCACGTAATTCTCCACTGGGATGTCATCTTTCTGGTCATCGGGGCGCACGGCATCCTGGGGAAGAAAGCAGGGGTCCTGGTGGGTTTAGGAAGAAGAACAAAACCAGGACCTGCAGGGACATATCGAGGGGGACGGGGGGGGAAGAAGGGGTCAAAAGCCAAGATGGCACCATCAAAGACCTGGCCTTTGTCCACGTGTGCGGGATCCCACGGTTCCAGCCTCCATTTTGACTTTGTGACCACCTGCGGATGGCCGTCTTATCTAGCCAGGATCTAAATCAGTGGTCTTCAGACTTGGCCCTTTTATGACTTGTGGACTTGTGGACTTTGCTGGCTGAGGAATTCTGGGGGTTGAAGTCCACAAGTCATCAAAGGGCCAAGTTTGAAGACCCCTGTCTTAAATCTAAGAAACAAAATGGAGGCTGGCTGAGGAATTCTGAGAGTTGAAGTCCACCAGTCATAAAAGGGCCAAGTTTGAAGACCCCTGGTTTAACATGTCAACCAGGAACAGGAGAAAAAAATGAGTGTGAAGACCCCTGATCTAGAAGGACCAGCAAAGCTGCCTCCTTCTAGATCAGGGGTGGGAAACCAGGGCCCTTTTACGACCTGTGGACTTCAACTCCCAGAATTCCTCAGCCAGCCCCACGTCATAAAAGGGCCATAGTTCCCTACCCTGATCTAGATGATCAAAGAAGGAGCAGCTCCTCCTAGATCATGAAAGAAGGATCAGCTCCTCCTAGATCAGGAGTCTGCTCCTTCTTCGGTTGGACTGGAGAGGCTGGAGGAGAAGATGAAGTTCCTCCATTCAGCACCTCAAGAGCTTTGGTCTTGGATAAGACAGCATGGGAAGCCACCTGAGATGCCAGCCAAGTGCAGAAAGGACAAGCGTCCTTTCCAGACCAGAAGCCGTTCAGCCACGGAGATCCTGAGAAGGTCCACGATGTGGGCTGGTGGCTCCGTCACAGAAGCTCAGGAGGACAGCCCCACTTCCATGGTGGACCAACCCATGGTGGACCAGAACCAAAAGCCCACAGGGCCGCTCACTGAGCCGAGCTTCAAGGTGGGCTCTTCCCAACTAATCCCTTCCTCAGAGGTGAGGAGGAGGAGGAAGAGGAGGCATCTCACCTTCCTCCAGTCAATCACATCCTTGAGTTTCCGGAAGAGGAAAATGCCCCTCCCTTGAGACCGGGCAACCTGGAGGAGACAAAAAAAGAGAGTCACTCACCTTCATAATAGGTAGGTAGGTAGGTAGATAGGTAGGTAGGTAGGTAGAGAGAGAGAGAGAGGTAGGTAGGTAGGTAGGTAGGTAGGTAGAAGATAGATAGATAGATAGATAGATAGATAGATAGATAGATAGATAGATAGATAGATAGATAGATAGATAGATAGATTAGGTAGGTAGGTAGGTAGGTAGATGAGAAAGAGGTAGGTAGATAGGTAGGTAGGTAGGTAGGTAGGTAGAGATAGATAGATAGATAGATAGATAGATGATAGATAGATAGATAGATAGATAGATAGATAGATAGATAGATAGATAGATAGATAGATAGATAGATAGATTAGGTAGGTAGGTAGGTAGGTAGGTAGATGAGAAAGAGGTAGGTAGATAGGTAGGTAGGTAGGTAGAAGATAGGTAGGTAGGTAGGTAGATGAGAAAGAGGTAGGTAGATAGGTAGGTAGGTAGGTAGGTAGAGATAGATAGATAGATAGATAGATAGATGATAGATCGATAGATAGATAGATAGATAGATAGATAGATTAGGTAGGTAGGTAGGTAGATGAGAAAGAGGTAGGTAGATAGGTAGGTAGGTAGGTAGGTAGAGATAGATAGATAGATAGATAGATAGATAGATGATAGATCGATAGATAGATAGATAGATAGATAGATAGGTAGATAGATAGATAGATAGATAGATAGATAGATAGAAGGGACCTTGGAGGTCATCTAGTCCAACCCCCTGCTCAGGCAGGAAACCCTATACCATTTCAGACGAAACATGGCTGATTCAGACGTACACATAGTCCTCGACTTAACAACAGTCTGCTTAGCGACCGTTGGAAGTTACAATGGCACTGAAAAAAGTAACTTAGCACCCACCTTTCACACTTAACGACCGTTGCAGCATCTTCACCGTCACGTGATCAAAACTCAGACACTTGGCAACTGGCATGTACTTATGACAGTTGCAATGTCCCAGTAGGTCACGTAATCCCGTTTTGCGACCTTCTCACGATGGGGGAAACTGGATTGGCTTAACGACCGTGTTACTAATATAACAACTGCAGTGTTGTTAACACGTGTGGCGAAAAAAGGGTCGTAAAATGAGGCAAGACTCACTCCTCTGGTTTTTCTTTCTATTTCAATCTCCCTTCCTCCTCCTCCTCTTCCTCCTTCTCTTTCTCCTCCTCCTCTCCTCCTCTTCCTCCTCCTCTCCTCCACTTCCTCCTCCTCCTCCCTCTCCTCCCCCCACCCTCTTACCGGTTTCATGATCCAGGTGATGCCGGGATTCTTCCGAAACTCCTCCACAAACAGGTGATACTCGGAGGGCATCTCAAAGGTCTTGGGGAAGAAGTCACACTTGGTGGCCTCCAGCTTCCCGGATTCCCTCTCCAGCTGTTTCCGGAGGCGCTTCAGGTTTTTCACGGTGTAGTTTTTCCGAGTCAGCTGTGGGGGGGGGAGCAGACGGACGGGAGAACCATTTCAGCCAAGGGTGCCCCGGGTCGGTCCCGTCCGGATCAGAACCGGCTCTCGGCGGAAGCTCCATTCAACACTGTTCTTTATTTGGGAAAGAAGCAGATTCTAGGAATCTCCCCCTAGGCCAGGGGTAGGCAACCTCGGCTCTTATGACTGGTGGACTTCAACTCCCAGAATTCCTGAGGCAGCCATGCTGAGGGGAAAGGGAGAGGTTTCCAAGCTGAGCCATGGTGGCTCAGGAATTCTGGGAGTTGAAGTCCACCAGTCATGAGGGGGCCATAGTTCCCCCATGCTGGCTGAGGAATTCTGGGAGTTGAAGTCCACGAGTCATGAGGAGGCCATAGTTCCCCCCATGCTGGCTCAGGAATTCTGGGAGTTGAAGTCCACGAGTCATAAAAGGGCCAAGTTTGAAGACCCCTGGTTTAAATATTTAAATATTTTTTTCCTCACGGTCACGTGATCAAAATTCAGGCATTTGGGCAAAGGTAGGCAACCTTGGCTCTTTTATGACTCGTGGACTTCAATTCCCAGAATTCCTGAGCCAGCCAAGCTGAGGGGAAAGGGAGAGGTTTCCAAGCTGAGCCACGCTGGCTCAGGAATTCTGGGAGTTGAAGTCCGCAAGTCATGAAGGGGCCATAGTTCCCCCATGCTGGTTCAGGAATTCTGGGAGTTGAAGTCCACGAGTCATAAAAGAGCCAAGGTTGCCTACCCCTGCCCTAGATATAATCCTGCATCTGGAGGGGACAGGTTAAGGGGTCAAGAGAGGACCCCTCCACCCACATCCTGGTTCAGCCATGATTTCCTAGGCTAGCAGGTCTCAGCTTAATACCCTGGTTGGGTATGTCTAGTTTAACAAAGGGGGGATGAAAGGACTAGGGGTGACATAATAGCAGTCTTCCAATATTTGAGTGGCTGCCACAAAAAAGAGGGGGGTCTACCTATTCTTCAAAACGCCTGAAGGCAGGACAAGAAGCAACAGATGGAAACTAACCAAGGAGAGAAGCAACCTGGAATTAAGGAGAAACTTCCTGAGAGTGAGGAAAATTATTAACCAGTGGAACAACCTGCCTCCAGAAGCTGTGAATGCTCCAACACTGGAAGTTTTTAAGAAGAGACTGGACAGCCATTTGTCTGAAATGGTATAGGGTTTCCTGCCTGAGCAGGGGGTTGGACTAATGGCCTCCAAGGTTCCTTCCAACTTTATTATTATTATAATCTAGCTATAAATCAGGGAGAGAAGCAACCTGGAACTAAGGAGAAACTTCCTGACAGGGAAAACAATTAATGGAACAGTACTTCAGAAGTTGTGGGTGCTCCATCACTGGAGGTTTTCAAGAAAAGATTGAGCTGCCACTTGTCTGGAATGGTCTAGGCCTAGGGTCTCCTATT